ACAGAAGCGCCATGGGAGGGAATTATAGGCTTGCATGGTAATGACGGGTCCGGATCAAGACTCGGGTATGAGTGCAAAAATTCCTGATCTTGCTTCACAGCGGCATTAAAAGCAAGTCCCAAGTGTATGAAAATATCCCCCATCTTACAGGCAACAGTTCAAGTTTGGGTAATTAGCCATAATACAAATACATACATGTTACTGTGATATTGTGAGTTTAGATAATAAATGGTTGAAATTCACTTTGTGGGTACAGAGTGCTTCATAAATACTTACTCTCCAGAGAGACTTCAGTTTAGAGTTACTCACCCCATTTTTTGGACGTCTCCTTATCCAAGTCGCACCAGGTCCCTGTTCTCTTTGTAAAAAGTTCAAGTTCCACACTAGCCTCTTCACTGTTCCCACGGTGGCGGATGGACCCTGGCTTGGATCTTCCCATCCCAGCAGAACAAGAGATCCAGGACAAGCCAGGAGTGGTCTTTTGAGTGACTTCCAATTCACAAACAGCTCCAGTGACTTATTATTTCTTGGTTTTTCCATGCTCTAAAGCAAAAACGGAACTATCTCTGTGACTTACCCCAGACCACAGGGATGGATGGTTCCTTGTGGGGATGCTTTCTCCAGAGAAGAGCTCATACTACCAATTCACAGCTTTGGGCCTGCACACTGTTCATCAGCCACCTCACAGCCCCCACATCTCAGCCAGGAGCCAAACAGGAGGCTCACCAAAGGCTCGCATTCTCTGGGAATATATGAGACAGGGCAGTACAGGGGCACCTGGGTGGCTCAGTCGATTGGGCATCTGACTTCTGCTCAAGTCATGATCTCACAGCTCATGGGTTCAAGCCCCACCTTGGGCTCTATGCTGACAGCTAGCTCAGAGCCTGGAGCCTGCTTCAGATTCTGTATCTCCCTCTCTCTCTGACCCTCCCCTGCTCACGCTGTCTCTCTCTGTCTCTCAGAAATAAATAAAACATTTAAAAAAAAAACTTTCTTCTACATTCTTCCCACCAAGGCAAACAAAAGAAACATACGTCTGATATCTCAGGTTAATATTAATAAGTAATTGGGATTATGAATATGTTACTAAGAAGCACAAAGACATACCCAAATACGTAGAGAAATAAATCATGTTTCTAAAGGAGAACTCTAATTAGTATAAAGATATTATAAATTCTTAGAGTGGGTTAGTTTCCATCAAATCCTCAAAAGAGGTTTAAAAAAATTGTTTTTTGTTTTTATTTGAGTTCTAAGATCAGTTTTTGAGAAGTTCATCTGGAGGGGTGCCTGGCTGCTGTGTTGATAGAGCATACACTGTTGATCTTAGGGGTCGTGAGTTTGAGCTCTGTATTGGGTGTAGAGTTTACTTAAAAAAAACTTTGGGGTGCTTGGGTGGCTCAGTGGGTTAAGCATCTCTCTTTGGCTCAGGTCATGACCTCATGGTTTGGGAGTTGGAGCCCCACATTGGTCTTTCTGCACAGAGCCCACTTCAGATCCTTTCTTTCCCTCTCTCTCTCTGTCCCTTCCCCACACATGCTCTCTCTCAAACACTAAACTTAAAGAAAAAAAAATAGTTTATGTGGAGTGTTTATTGTGCAATTGTCAACTTTTTTTATATTTGAAAATTTTCATAATTATGGGTAAAAACAGTCAATTTGGGAGAATGTGTAGGCAGACCACAAGGAAAGTGTTACAAAGGGTTAGTGAATGTGGGTGTGGGCTTGCTCCAGTGCATTTAAAAATGTTATGTCAGTAATCAAAACTAGAACAGAAACAAGACAAATCAGTGGAATAGAAGCGGATATCCTTGAAACAGTGTCATAGACTCTGGGTCTGGAGTTCTTTCTTGTCCAGCAAGAAAACGAGACGTAGGATTAAAATGCCAGAGAGGCTGATGTCTGGGGGAAGATAAGAGCCCAGATTAAGGGTCTTTGCTCTGTTTTTATTAGGATCAGAAGGCTTACTAACATGGTGATGGACGTGCACAAAGAGACGTGCACAAACTGTGAACATTAACTCATGGGCATGAGTGAAAAGGGGTTTTGAAAATATGCGGTGTTAGGGGTTTGGGTTAATACAAAACAAAATCCTGGAGCTAGGTGGAAGGTTGTTTACAGCAGATGTGAGGCACCACCTCTGTTTACCTAAACTGGTCTAGGAGACAGGAAAGACAGAGTATGCTACCTCAGGGTCAACAAGGTACCTTTCTTTTGCTAAGTAGCTCGGCTCTGGGCAACTTTGCCCCACCCACCCCCCACCCCCCGCAGCGGTCTATAGCCCTATTTACCTGTTTAACTAATTTGGTCCTTCCTTTCTGTGAAAGCAGCTTTCTGCTATAGTACTAAGTTGGGGGCATTTCCACCCTGAATACCTAATCTTTTTTACCTCATATACCTTTGCCCCGCCTTATCTATACTGGGGCCTTTGCCTTGCCTTACCTATACTTATTCACCTAATCTTGTTTACCCAAACTTGGGTGAGAACATCCTATGGCTTTTTAATTTTTTATGCCTTGTTAACCCATCAGTGCAGGCTCAGGAAATTCCTAAACTTACTCCCCACAAAGCAGATCTTAGGATATATAAGCTATGCCACTTTCATTATATTTGTTAAACAAACATTTATACAAAGCTTACTATGTGTCAAGCACTGTTCTAAATTCTTTACAGATATTGACTTGTTTATACTTTAACTAATTTAACTAAAAATGGGTCTCTGGAGTCAGATTGCCTGTGTTCAGATTCTGTCTCTGTCATTTATTAGCTGTGAGACCTTACAAAAGTTACTAAATTTCTGTTTCCTTAGGTATAAAATGTAGATAATAAGTTACTTATCTCATAACATTTTTAAGAGATTAAGTTAATACTTTATTTAAAAAAATTTTTTTAATGTTTTATTTATTTCTAGGAGAGAGAGAGAGAGAGAAAGACAGCGTGAGCAGGGGAGGGTCAGAGAGAGAGGGAGTCACAGACTGAAACAGGCTCCAGGCTCTGAGCTGGCAGTCAGCACAGAGCCCGACGCGGGGCTCGAACCCACGAACCGCGAGATCATGACCTGAGCGAAAGTCGGACGCTTAACCGACTAAGCCACCTGGGCGCCCCTAAGTTAATATTTTATAAAGGATGCATTACAATAGGTAAGAAATAATTATTAATAGTGTAAGGAAATTGAATAAAAATACCTAGTTGGAGTTTTGCCTCATATAAGATACTGAAACTAAATTCCAGAATTCAAAGGAATATATCCAGGGGCACCTGGGTGGCACGGTCAGTTAAGCCACCAACTTTGGCTCACAATCTGTGAGTTCGAGCTGTGGGTCGGGCTCTGTGCGGACAGCTCAGAGCCTGGAGACTGCTTCAGATTCTGTGTATGCCTCTCTCTGCCACTCATGCTCTCTCTCTCTCTCAAAAATGAATAAACATTTCAAAAATTTATTAAAAAATTAAAGAGAGAAATATATCCAGAAAAATGAAAGCATAAAATATTTAGAAGCAAAAGTATATGGGTATTTAACTAATTCTAAAAATTGATGACTTTCTAAGTATAAAGGGAAAAAAATAATATATCATAAAAATTAAAAGTTAAAAATGAATAAGTTAGAAAAAGACAAGACTTAGAATAAGTGGGATAGATGATATGTGAATATTCTTTTATATCAACTTTTATAAATCAGAGAAGTATTATAGAAAACAGGAAAATTGCATAAACAATTTATAGAAGGAAAATACAAATAGCCTAATGGCTACAAGCATGTGGAAAAAAATGTTCAGTCTCACAAAGGAAGGTCATTTTAAACCAATAAATACTAATTCACTAATAAATATGGTTAGGATTTGAAAATAGGAAAGCTTGGAGTACCTGGGTGGCTCAGTTTGCTGAGCGTTAAACTCTTGATTTCGGCTCAGGTCGTGATCTCACAGTCATGGGATTGAACCCCATGTTGGGCCCTGCATTGAGTCTGGAACCTGCTTGGGATTCTCTCTCTCTCTCTCTCTCTGTCTCTTCTTCTGCCCCTCTCCTATTCATGCTCTCTCTCAAAAGAAATAAACATTAAAAACAAATAAAATAAATAGAATGCTTAATGTCAATAAATGTATCATAAGACAGTCATTCTTATAAAGAATAAATTTGGTATGATCTTTAAAAAATTTTTTTTCATGTTTATTCATATTTGAGAGAGAAAGAGACAGAGCAGGAGAGGGAAAGGGTCAGAGAGGAGACAGAATCTGAAGCAGGTTCCGTCAGCACAGAGCCTAACGCGGGCCTTGATCATGACCTGAGCCAAAGTCAGACACTTAACTGACTGAGCCACTCAGATGCCCCTAAATTTGGTATGATATTTTGAAGAGCATTTTAGAAAAATTGATTGATTTTGAAACTGTTCAGATATGTTGATCCTGTGATCTATTTGTTATGGGTTGAATTGTTTCCATCCAAGAGATAAATTGAAGTCCTAACCCCTTGTACTTCAGAATGTAACCTTATTTAGAAATAAGGTCACCGCAGATGTAATTAGCAAGATGGAGTCATGCTGGAATCGGAAGGGTTATTAATTCAATAGGATTAGTGTCTTATGAGGAGGGAGAATACCATGTGAACACAAATGCTGTGTGGCTGTGGAGGCAGAGGCTGGAGTTATTTATCTACAATAGCCCTGCCCCTTGGCTGTGGAGGGTATGTTCCCAGATCCCCTGTGCATGCCTGACATGGCAGGTAGTATCAAACCTCATAAAAGCTATGTTTTTTCCTCGGCATACATACCTATAATAAAGTTTAATTTACAGATTAGGCACAGTAAGAGATTAACAACAAAGATTAATAACAAAATAGAATAATTATAACAACGTACTATAATAAAAGTTACACGAATGTGGTTTCTCTCAAAATACCTCATTGTAATCTACTCACCCTTCTTGTGATGATGTGAGATGATAAAATGCCTATGTGATGCGACAAAGTGAGGTGAATGACACAAGCATGTGACGCAATGCTAGGCCTCTGTGGACCTTCCCAGGACCCACAGGAGGACCATCTGCTTCCCACAGGGGGTTGACCGCAGGTAACTGAAACCACAGAAAGTGAAACTCTGGGGGCGCCTGGTTGGCTCAGTTGGTTAAGCGTCCGACTTTGGCTCAGGTCATGATCTCACGGTTCATGGGTTCGAGCCCCGCGTTGGGCTCTGTGCTGACAGCTAGCTCAGAGCCTGGAGCCTGCCTTCGGATTCTGTGTCTCCCTCATTCTCTGACCCTCCCCTGCTCATGCTGTCTCTGTCTTCTCTCTCAAAAATAAATTAAAAAAAAAAAAAGAAAAAAAAAGAAAGTGAAACTCTGGATAAGGGGGATTATAGTATCAGCCAAGGAATGCCAAGGATTGCCAGCAAACAACACAAGATAAAATTTAAAAAGCATGATAGAATCTACTACAGTTTTCAGAGGGAACAGGGCCCTGCTGACACCTTGAGTTTTGGACTGTGAGACAGTACATTTCTAATTTTAAGCTCCCCAGTTTGTGGTAGTCTGTTATGGCAGCCCTAAGAAAGTATGCACTATCCTTGGAAGAATTAATATGAATAAAAATATATGTTCAAGGATACTTACCCAGTTACTCACAATTACAAAAATTTAGAAGTGATCAGAATGTATAAACAATACCAGAATCATTAAAGGAAATATATTTAAAGGTAGAATATCATGGGGACAATAAAAATCATATTTTTGAAAATGTAGGTAAATGTTTTATAATATAATAGTGAGAAAGGGCAAGAAATAACAGCATATTCCATGTGATTTAAATTTTATTTTAAAGTTTTTTAAAAGTCCACCTATTTATTTTTGAGAGACAGAAAATGCATGCAGGGGAGGGGCAGAGAGAGGAAGAGAGAAGATTCCAAGCAGGCTCCACATCGCACGGTCAGTGCCAGACACGGGGTTCGAACTCACAAACCATAAGATCATGACCTGAGCTGAAATCAAGAGTCAGACGCTTAACTGACTAAGCCATCCAGGTGCCCCTAAAATTTTATTTTAAAAAATCATAAATTATAGGGGTCTCTGGGTGGCTCAGTTGGTTAAGTATACAACTCTTAATCTCAGCTCAGGTGTTGATCTCTGGATTATGGGTTCAAACCCTGCATTGAGCTGTATACTGGGCTCCATGCTGGATGTGGAGCTTACTTAAAAAAAATTAAAAAATAAAAATAAAACTCATAAATTACATATTTATAGGAAAAAAAAAAGCTGATGGTAAGGGTTCCTGGCTGGCTCAGTTGTTAGAACATGACTCTTGATCTCAAGCCTGACATTGGGAGTAGAGATTACTTAAAAATAAAATCTTAAAAAAGAGCTGGTGGTAAATTCTCTAAAGGGTTAATAGTGGTTACATTTTTTCTATAATTTTCTAAAGTTATAGCAAAGTATAGATGTTAGAAATGTCAGAAAAAGACAGTATATATAAATTTGATGGTCTCAGGAGCAAAGAAAAAGAATAGTAATTTGCCTATTTACCAAGATCTATATAATGTACTTGGCATATACAGTTTTATTTAATTATTGCCCCAATCCCCGGAGGACCAGGAGGCTTCAGTAAGTCATTCCAGTAACATCGGTAGTAACAGACAGAACCAAGTTATGTATCCAGGTTTCCTAATTCCAAATTCTGTGTTATTATCCATTCTATGTTGCCATATACCATTCACATTTTTTTAATTTTAATTTTTTAATTTTAATTTTTTGGGGGTCTTCTTATCCCTTTTTTTTAATAGTTTATTATCCAGTTGGTTTCCATATAACACCCAATGCTCATCCCAGCAAGTGCCCTCTTCCATCCCTATCACCTACCATTCACATTTTTGACCCTAGACTTGGACTCCTAAAAAGGTACCCTAAACACATAATAAAACAAAACAAAACAAAACAAAACACCCCACTATATAGGGCAATGTTAGAAAAGAGAATTATTTGAAACAATGTAATTGTCTAACAATAGAAGAAGATAGTATGATTCACCTTCATAATGGATTATCATAGACTTTATAAAAGATAATGGATACTCTATGGATATGAAAAAATATTTCAGACACAATATTTAGTAAAAGAAAAGCAGAATATGGAGTAGTTATATTCATTGCACAAAATATGTATGTATAGGAATGCAATTGAGAGTAGCTGTAGACTGTGGCTGTAACAGACTGGGTACAATTTTCTTTGTCTCAGAATTGTTTAGTTTTTAGAAAATTATCTGAAGGATGCCTGGGTGGCTCAATTAGTTGAGTGTCTGACTTCAGCTTGGGTCATGATTTCCTGGTTCATGAGTTCGAGCCCCACATTGGGGTACAGAGCCTGCTTGGGATTTTCTCTCCTCTTCTCTCTCTGCCCCGTCCGTCCCTTCCTTTCTCTCAAAATAAATAAATAAACTTAAAAAATAAAAAAATAAAAAATTATCTGAAGAGTTTTATCAAATAATCACCTTCTCAAAACACTGGCTCCAGTCCATTTCTTTCTTCACCGGCAACTCTTCTGCTCAGAACAGTTTTCCATTTAGTGTTTGCTTCTGTTCAGCTCCACAGCATGAGCTCTTGCCACTCATATTCATGTGAACAAGGCTGACCCAAATAGAAATTAGACTTTCCCAGAAGTCACTTGACCATTTCACATCCATGCTGTGCTGTGACAGTGTTGAGCTGCACATTATATTGAAGAATTTGTCTTCCTTTTTTTTTTTTTGCAAAATAGGGTCTCCCCCACACCATTGTAACAGTATTCCTTTGAGCATAACTGTAAACTTTATACACCTGTAACCTTTATATACTGCCACTGGCCACAGGGTTTCTCAACATCAGCATTATTGACAAGTGGGCTCAGATAACTCTTTGCTATGTCTTGTGCATTATAGGATGTTTAGCAATATCTCTCACCTCTTATTACTAGATGTCAGTAGTATCTCCTCCCGAAAGTGTGACAAACAAAGACATCTTCAGATATTGCCAAATGATCCCTGGGGCTGGGGGGCAAACTCTTGGTTGAGAACCACTGGCCTGAAGGAACGTCAGTGGCTTAAGGTGCAAACCTGTAGTCGGCCAGTTATGCCCTGATTTTACCACCAGAGGTCTCCCTAGACCCCATTATGGTTCTAATCTGGAAAATCAGGGCTATGGCCACCACCAAATATATTAATTTCATGACCTAGTGGGTGGTGACAGCAAAGGGTTTACAAACAAAAGCATTTGATCAATCTCCTGTGCAGAAGAATTCTAAATAATATAGATATTCCATTCTAAAGGAAGGGAGTATAAATCCCAAAAGTGTGGGCTATATGTAGTGACTTCCTGCCAAAGATTATAATATTGAAAGGGGAGTGGGGAGTACTAACTGTGGAGAAACCTGACAAACATGACCTCAACCAGCTGTTTGAGGTCAACATCAGCACTGATAAATTATATTGATAGTATGTCCCTTGATATGATGTGATAAAAATGGCACTTTACCTCCATAATAACCCTCCTCCCCAAACCACATAACCTCAGGCTGATCATGAGAAAAGTATCAGACAAATTCAAATAGAAGGGCATCCTACAAAGTTCCTGACCAGAACTCCTCAAAGCTGTCAAGGGCATTAAAAACAAGGAAAGTATGAGAAATCATCACAGTCAAGAGGAGCTTGGAGACATGACAACTAAATATAAGATAGTCTCCTGGATGAGATTCTGGGACAGAAAAGTACATTAGGTAAAAATTAAGGAAATCTGAATAACTATGAACTTAAGTTAATTAAAAAGTATCAATATTGGCTCATTAAATTGTAACAAATGTACCATACTAATATGAAATGGTAATAAAAGGAAATTGCATGCAGGGGCAGGATTATATGAAAACTCTGTACTCAGCTTAATTTTTCTATAAATCTAAAACTGCTCAAAATTAAGTCTTTTAATTAAAAATTTTTTATAGTTTATTTATTTTTGAGACAGAGAGAGACAGAGAGGGGAGGGTCAGAGAGAGAGGGAAACACAGAATCTGAAACAGGCTCCAGGCTCTGAGCTAGCTGGCAGCACAGAACCCAATGCGGGGCTCGAACCCATGAACCACGAGATCATGACCTGAGCCGAAGTCCGACGCTCAACCTGCTCAACCGACTGAGTCACCCAGGCGTGCCTCTTTTAATTTTTTAAAAAGCATCTGATCAAGCACTGTTCTGATAAAAGAAACGAAAAGTTTTGAAAATGGTGCATTTGCTAGGATTCTGATGTCTGTTCTAAAAGGAATCATTTGGTGACTGTGATTAGAAATGCCACCATCATGAACCAATCAAGCCCCTCACTTCATGCAGCAGTATCTGGTAAGAAAGGCAGAGACTGATACCAAAGACAACTTAATGGAATAAAGGAGCTTAAATACTTAACAAAATTCTTGGAGATTATTTCTATATTAACAAGTAGGTAAATGTGGCATAATCGTATAATAAGACTATCAATTCTCATTATATATTATATCTCATTGATACATACCCTTTTGAAGTTGGTACTATATCCCAGTACTGTATTCAACTGAGAAAGACTGAGTCTCAAAAAGATTTGCTCAAGATCATAGACCTAATAAGTAGCAAAACTAAAACTCAAATTTTTATGTCTGATATTAAAGTCTTTGCTTTTGACTCCTGTGCATTCTTTTCTGATTGTATTTGGCAGCTGAGGTTATTAACCTTCACTGTAGAGTAACTATTGCATAATTAAAAGAGTGCTGAGCAAAAAACAGAAGTCTGGGTCCTCAGTCAGCTCAGAATATCAATTTCCTTAACCAAAAAATTATGGATAATAATCACCTGCTTACCTCACTGGGTTGTTTAAAGAGTCGAGTGAAATCTATGAGAAAATGACTTGCAACCTGTGAAGTGTGGCGTTGTATCATTAACACGTATTTACTTTTGTAGCTTTTTGCAAATATGTCTGTAAGCTGATTGCAAAATGGGATGTGAGCAGATGATTGAGGGGAGTTTCAGAGCAGGAGGCTTACAAGAGAATTGTGTCAGCTTCAAATCCTCCCTCTGAAAGTAAGATCTCAAGTCTGTGGCCTTCATCACTGACTGCACTTCTCACCGGGGAGCTTTCAAAGGCATCCAGGCCTACGTTGTTCGGTCCCAGACCAATTAAATTACAATTGCTAGGGGTGGGGCACAGTCAGTGTTATGTTTAAAAAACTCTCCCGATGATTCTAATATGCCACGGAGGCTGAGAACTGCCATCCTAATTGATCTAAAGGCAGCCCAGTTCCATGGGGCCCACCATACCCTTTCTGCACAGGCTGCTCCTCACTCCTGGAAATTGCTAGAGTTGGAAAATTGCCATCAGGCAGTGAGGCTAAAATAAAAGTCTGGTCAGCCACGCTGCTAGGACAGCTGATGATATTGTTATTTGACTAAAGGAAATGGAGCTATTTCAGTTTCATTCAAAGAAGGAAGTGTCCAGTCGTGGGAGGGAGAGTGCCACAGAGGCTGGCTAAGCAATTATTTAGCGCCCTGCCACAATCGCCAGCCAGGATAGCAGAGGGGCTGCTCTGAGCCTTTGTAAACTTGGCTCTGCAGGTTAGTTTATCTTGGCTGTCATGTTGTCTGAAGAGCCCTTGTAGGGATCCTGGGCCTTGCTGCCTGTCAGACCAAAGCAACAATCAGCTTACAAATTAGTGTATTCAGTTCAAAACCTGAGGCCATAGAAGAAAAAGCTGTTGAACAAGAATAACCTTAAGTGTGCTACAGAGTTAATGTAATTCAGAGCTAGAAACCCCCTTCTTTTAGAAACAGGCCCAGTTTCCTAAATATATTGCTCTGTAGGGCCTCCAGTGAAAGAATTTTGAGGACAGCACTGGCAAGAGAGAGTACCAAGATGGAGAAGTCACCTGGGGGAACTGACGGTCCCTGTTGTCTAGGGTCTGGACATCACCTTGACAAATCCAGGAACTCATCATGTCAGAACACTCAGAGGTGAGCAGTCTCTTAGGGATAAACCCACATGAACCAAGCTCACAAGAAGTCCAAGCCTGAATTACACAATGACTAGACATTAACATTGGGTGGTACATTCTCTACCTGTAGGAAAGGTAACATGGGGAACCACATTTGAACCATAAATTAAACCTGAAAATCAAGGATATAATTGAGAAATTAGTTAGGCTATCATAAAAGATGGTACATTCAAACTATAGTAGCTGGATTCATTCAGGCTCTCTGTAGGGGTGACCTGTTAAGTAGGATGAAATACTGGGCACCCTCTGTCGAGATTGCGTTGGAGAGTAACTGACAAATTCTTGCTCTTTGGGGTCACTTTTTCAAACCAGGTGTCACCAAACTTCTCTGGTTGTGTGTTCCTAGCAGGGAAACAAAAATAAAAATAAATTGTAAATCCATTTTTCAAATCATCTGCAGATCATTCTGATTTTTTTTTTTTTTTGGTATCATCTTCTTGTCAGACCTGACAAGAATGTTATTGCTTTTACTGAATAACATAGCTGTCAGCTTATATTAAAGGTAAGAGAAATGTCAGTCCTACCATTTTATTATTTGCTTGTGTTTTCATTATTATCTTTAACTTGTGGTTTCTTTCCAGGAATGTTGTTAAACCCTTGTCCATTTTGTGAGAGTTAACTAAGTGAAAACTGATACTGTACCATGATATAATCTATAAGTCCACTGAAGAGGGCTTATAAACTGCAAGATGCCATATTGTGTGCTGAAAGGTGAGCACGAGTGAGTGGCCATGGTCAACCTCCAGGTGTGGAATTCCCATTCTTCACTGGGACACTTCAGTAATGAATGAGGCTATTCTTCAGACAACGTATAATACAATGCATTCACTCAGAATCTAGAATATTTTATAGCTTTGGATACGATACGATATAATACAATACAATACAATACAATACAATACAATAGTTCTTAGAAATTAGGCCCTTAATCCATAATTGGACATGGGCAGCCCTACATCTCTGTCTCCTTGTTTGCTGACTAGGTGAGTCTTTGTGTAGATATTCAATCTTTTTCATCATATTTTTATTCTCTTTATTGTTATGTCCTGAGGGGGACTTTATCTGAAGTTTTGGGGGGTGCCTATAAGAACTGCTCTAGAAGAACCACAAAATGAGAATGAGGGAGGCATAGTTACCACATCTTACTATCAGGAAAATGGTTTTATTTAAATCCAGAAGCAAAACAAATAAACACAGAGTTAATTTAGTTGAAGGGATCAGGAGGAACTAGTTTCATACCTTTCTCTTCAGAGACTTCACCTACAGGGCTTCCCAGGAATGGGAAGCCTTCCATAGAGTTTGAAAATTACAGCCCTAGAACATTAAAAAACTGGTTAAGTTGGAATTTTGCTATAATCAGTGCAGTGTTATAGGTAAGCCTGCAGGAACTAGAGACAAAGGAGATCTCATGTACAGTATATCTGCAATGAATTAAGAATTTAAAAAATTCTGTTCATAGCAGCACTCTCCACAATAGCTAAAATGTGGAAAGAGCCTAAGTGTCCATCAACGGACGAATGGATCAAGAAGATGTGGTTTATCTATACCATGGAATACTACATGGCAATGAGAAACAATGAAATCTGGCCATGTGTAGCAACATGGATGGACCTTGAGGGTGTTATGCTGAGCGAAATAAGTCAGGCAGAGAAGGACAAATATCATATGTTTGCACGTATAGGAGGATTAGGAGGAACTTGACGGAGGACCAAGGGGGAGAAGAAGGGCGGAAATGGTGGGGGAAAGGGAGAGAGGCAAACCATGAGAGACTCTTGAATGCTGACAAAAACTGAGGACTGATGGATGTGGGGGGGAGGGGGGGTGGGCATGGAGGAGGGCACTTTGGGGATGAGCACTGAGTGTTATGTGGAAACTAATTTGACAATAAACTATTTGTAAAAAATAAAATAAAATAAAATAAAATACAAAAAATTAAAAAAAAAAAAGAATTTGGACTCTATAGTTAGACAGTGTGTGTTGTTCTTTTCATTTCCTCCATAGAGAACTTAATTTTATTTTTAATTTTTTTAAAGTTTATTTTTGAAAGAAAGAAAGAGAGAAAAAGAGAAAGAGAGACAGAGAGAGACCAGGGGAGGGGCAGAGAGAGAGAGAGAGAGATAGAGAGAGAATCCGAAGCAGGCTCTGTGCCGACAGCAGAGAACCTGATGTGGGGCTTGAACTCAGGAACTGTGAGATCATGACTTGCACTGAAGTCTGATACTTAACTGACAGAGCCACCCAGGTGCCCCAGTTTTATTTTTTAATAAGTAATACATACATGCAATACTAAATGATTAGTTTCCTTCCCATTCTTAACCCTCCTTCCCCTAGTTCTTCCTAGCAGCAGCCACAGATACAAGCTTCTTGAGCATTCCCCTGGGTAGTAAAGGCATATTCAAGCACACTTGTATATATACTACATGTAAATATATATTTTAAAACAAGTAGTGGCAGGGACAACTGGGTGGCTCAGTCAGTTGGGCGTTCAACTTTTGATTTCGGTTCACATCATTAACTCATGGATCATGAATTTGAGCCTCACATCGGGCTCTGTGCTGACAGTGCAGATCTGCTTGGGATTCTCTCTTTCCCTCTCTCTTTGCCCCTCCTCTGCTCATGCATGTGTGCTCTCTCTCAAAAAAAAAATAAACTTAAAAAGCAAAACAAAATAAAAAACCCGCCAAAAACAAATGGTGGCATACTTTGTACAATTGTTCTTTACTGTGCTTTTTTAAAAAATTAATTCCTGGAAATGGTTCACTCTTCATTCATTCAACACATAATTATTGAACATTGTGATAGACTGAAATATTGTTCTCTTCTCCTTATGATAGGGTTATACATTCTGCTCTCTGCCCTTTGACTTTGGAGACTCTTCCAGTTAGAGAAGGTATAAAATACTTCTCTTCTCTCTTGACTTTGGATTTGGCCTTGTTTTCTGGCCAATGGATTGTGGGTAGAAGTGACAGTGTGTCATTCTAAGTAGAGGCTTTAAGGGGTATCATATATTATCATGTCCTTCTTGAAATTACAGTGGCCCCCAAATGAACAGATACTAGAAGCCAATCTAAACGTAACCTGTGACCCTCAGCCTACAGCACTGCTACCATAGCTGCCCTACATATCCATGAGGGAAAAAGAAATATGTTTTTGTATAAGTCATTGATATTTTGGGGTCACTTGTTATCACACCCAGGAGAAATTAAGGCTACTATGTGCTCAAACACTATTCTAGGTCCTTAGGTTCATTAGGGAACCAGACAAAGATCCTCACCCTCATGGAGGACCCACATACAGACTTGCCTTTTTTAATGGCTGCATAGTATTCCTTTGTATAGAGGTGTTGCAATTTATTCAACCTGTCCTTTATTTTTTAAGTTAATTTATTTATTGGGGGGGGGAGGGGCAGATTCTAAGAGAGAGAAGAGAATCCCAAGCAGGCTCTGTGCTATTAGCATGGAGCATAACTCGGAGCTTGAACTCACAAACTGTGAGATCATGACTTAAGCCCAAATCAAGAGCTGGACACTTAATCAACTGAGCCACCCAGGTGCCCCTCAACCAGTCCTTTAGTGATGGATTTATATTATCTCAAAGCATCAGTCTCAAAAGTTGAAAAGCGTCTTTCTAACATAAATGCATAGAAAGTACATATTCAAGTCTTATTTAATTTATGATGAAGAACCCACCAGGATGACAAAGTTGGTTTGAAAGAGAGTATAAAATTTGAAAAATATTCAATGGATAAAAAAATTATGAAATGAAATTGTTAATTTTTTAAATGTTTTATTTATTTTTGAGATAGAGATAGAGACAGAGTGAGCAGGGGAGGGTCAGAGAGAGAGGGAGACACAGAATCTGAAGCAGGCTCCAAGCTCTGAGCTAGCTGTCAGCACAGAGCCCGACACAGGGCTTGAACCCAGGAACCAGGAGATCATGACCTGAGCCAAAGTCGGACGCTTAACCGACTGAGCCACCCAGGTGTCCCTAAAATTGTTAATTTTGATACAAAACTGGCTAATGGCCTATAGGGTAAACATAATTTTTGAGATTTTCTTCTACTGGACAGAAAAAAAAAATCATTCCCCATTGTCAGTTTGAGAGAGTTGTAAAATGTCTGGGCATTTACAATCAACGGCAAAGTTACATTCCCCAGAGACAGTTTCTGCTAATACTAACAATGCTACAATATCTTTTTATATTCATTTTTGTGTGCATGTGTGAGCATATCTTAAGGATAAGTTTCTAGAAGTGAAACTTCTGAGTATATTAATTTCTACTTTTGAGAGAGGTTACCAAATTGCCCTTTATAGAAATCATACCAATTTACCTTATTTCAAACAACGTATGAATGGCTATTTCTTCATATCTTTTCTAATGCAATGTTATCTAACCTTTTGCTACCTGCCAATCTGATAGGAGAAAAATAGCACCTCATTACAATTTTAATTTAAATTTTTTTCTTATTATTGCTATGATTGAATATTTTCTTCATATCTTTAGAAGTTATTTCTTTTTCCTCTACCATGAATTGTCACTTCATATCTTTGCCATCAGAAAAAACGAGCCCTTATCTGTCATGTGTTCCAAATTCTTTTTCAGTTTCAGACATATTCTTAATCCTACTTACTAGCTATTTACTATTTATTGGCTGTGTGACCTTGGGCAAATTAATTAACATCTCTGAGCTTAAATTTACTCATCTGTAAAATAAGGATAATAATAGTCCTCAATCCCATATTTGAAATTCTGGGATAGAGGTTTTTTAAAATATTTTTTTAAATGTTTATTTAGTTTTGAGAGAGGGAGAGAGATTGACAGAGTGTGAGTGGGGGAGGGGCAGAGAGAGCCAGAGACAGAATCCAAAGCAGTCTCCAGGCTCTGAACCATCAGCACAGAACACGACGCAGAGCTCAAACTCATGAACTGTGAGATCATGACCCGGGCTGAAGTCAGACATTTAACTGACTAAACTGCCCAGGAGCTCTGGGATAGAGATGTTTTAAATTTTAGGAGCGTTCAGTGTGCATACATGGTATGTAATGCAAAATCCCAGGGAGTGGGAGCTCTTCAAGCATTAGTATTCCTATAATAAACATATGAATATACTAGATGGGATTAATAAAGCCTGTGAATGACCTCATGTCAGTTGAAGTTTGCCATCAAATGAGCTGCATATTTTTTTTTTCTTAGAAAGTGGAGCTTGGGAAAATTTGCCATGGTTTATTATATCTGTTGAAAGTTAAAAATTGTGCAGAAGAGAGACACCTCCATGGTACTGTAACTGATTGGGAGATATATCTATTAATTAGACAAATATTGAGACTAGCCCACATGGGAAGGACTGGGTACCAAAAGATACTCAATGAGAATGCTATTAGTAGCTTGTGAAAATCAAGTAGGGAAAATATAATTGCTTGTATTCTGTCCATTTTTTTTACCCTACAGATTTTAGAATACTACTGCTCTGCTTTTGTTCTATATGAGCTCTGTCAAACTCTTTTGATTTTGGATTTCGAACTGTGCTTAAGGTGACCTGTGGTATCTTCCTCCATAAGGTTGTTGTGAAGATTGGATTAAATTAAACAATGCATGTAAAGTGCATTTACCAGCTCCCAGAACATAGGAAGAGCAAGATAAATATTATTGTTGTTTTTAAGATGGAAGCGCTCAGCTCTTATAATTCTTGTTTCCAGGCCCTTTAGCTTGGCAAAGGGTTTTGCTTTGTTTGATGTTCAGATACATTTCCTTGTAAAGGTGACTGAGAAATTTGAAGAGAAGAGGAGAGAAGCATTTTTATTCTTTGATGGTAGGGAATAAAGGGAATGAATGTACTTTGAAGCCAGATAAGTCAGGGTT